GATAAAAAATTTAACCTTATGGCAGAATGCTAACTTTTTTTATCACATTTTTAATAAAAACTCAAGTATATCTGGTTTTATTTAAATTATTTCAAAATATTGTACGTATTTGCTTGACTTCCATGTCACAAAGAATAAGCTTTATAATATGTAGCTCCTATACTAGCTTAAACCTGAAGCCGTTCTTATTGGTAAGCCTACGTCCTGGAGTCACAGTGTCATAAACCAAAGGGAAGATATTGCTGCTTTTCAGCAGAAGTTGGGAGACATTGTGTGTTCCTTCCCAGTTTTAAAAGAAGTGTATTTAGCTGATTACATTGTTGTTACCAGTGTTACCAAGACAGGCTGTCTTGTATCTAGCTTATTTTTGCTATCATTTCATTATATAATTATATTGTATAAATATTTTCCTAAAGAAAAATACAATGCCCACAAAATCTATTGTGTCTTCCTCATTGTTATGTCCTCAGCAACTGCTACCATTTCTGGCGTGTAATTCAATAACTACTCGCTGAATGAATGGCAAATCAGTTCTAAAACTCGAAACCTTCCTCAGTGTTTCACACTAGCTTTTGCTAGGAGAGAGCAGTGTAGTCAAGTAAAGAGCAGAATTAATGTAAAATAGTCATATTTGTCCCTAGACATATGACCAAAACAATGTTCACTTTAAAATAAGATCTTTATCACTAACAACAAATTTGAAATTTAACTGAAAAAAACCGATATATTAATCAAATACAACATGGAAATGTCTTTCAAGTACAGATTTGAACAAACCAACTAAAAAAGACATTTCAGATAAGTGGAAAATTTGAACACTATCATCTACTAGGTATTACATAATATTAGAGAATTTGTTTTGTTAGTGTGATAATGGAATTTTTTGTTAAAAAAGACTGCTGGACTATACTTAACCATTTATAGGTGAAATTATGTTAGAGGCTTCAAAATAACTCAGTGGAAGAGGGATGGAGAAGTTCATGGAATACAGGTAAAACAAGGCTGGCACGTACTGACAATAGTTGAAGCTGAGTGATGGGTATGTGGGAGTTCATTTACTATTATCTTTACTTTTGTATATGTGTAATATTTCCTAAAATTAAAAAAAAAAGAACTTAAAGCTTAAAATAGAAAAGAACACAGATGAACACACACAAACAAAAATAATACAAATGATTACCTGTATGTGTGGGTAGGGGAAAGGGATAATTTTCCACTGCTTACTTTGTGTTTTGACGTTTTTAGACAAAAGCTTAAGTTTAAAAAAAAAAGATAAAACAATAACTCCTGTGATACCTGGATTTCTAAATGAACACTAATGTACCCTGATTGCATCAGCAATCCTATTAAAAGAGAGCTTTAATGGAAACATGAATCAGAATCATCTATCAAAGAATGAGCATTACAGAGCAGTAAAGGGTTCAGGTGAAGTAAACTCCAAACTTTCATTAAAAAAAATTAAGAGTTCCTGATGTTTATCTCAACTAGGATTTCAAAAACTACAATTAAGAAGTGGAGATTTTCAGCAAAGCTACAGGATAAAAAGTCAACATGTAAAAATCAGTGGTGTTTCTATACATTAACAACTAACAATCTGAAGAGAAAATTAAGAAAATGATTCCATTTACAATAGCATCTAAAAGAATAAGATACTTAGGAATAAGCTTAACCAAGGAGATGAAAGACATATACAATAACAACTACAAAGTATTGCTGAAAGAAATTGAAAACACAAATGGAAAGTCATCTCATGTTCATGGGCTGGAAGACAATATTAAGATGTCAGTACTACTCAAAGCGATCTACAGAGTCAATGCTATTTCAGTCAAAATCCCAATGATGTTTTTTGTAGGAATAGAAAAATCTGTCCTAAAAGTCATATGGAATTCAAGGGACTGCAAATAGCCAAAACAATCTTGAAAAAGAACAAAGTTGAAGGTCACCTACTTCCTGATTTCAAAAGTTAATAAAAAGCTACAGTAATCAAAACAGTGTGGTACTGGCATAAAGACAGACATATACACCAATGAAATAGAACAGGAATAAAATCTCATATATATGATCAAATGGTTTTTTACAAGAGTGCCAAGACCATTTATTTAATAGGAAAGAGCAGTCTTTTCAATAAATGGTGTTGGGAAACTGGATATCCACATTCAAACGAATGAAGTTAAATCCTGACCTTACACCATATACAAAATTTAACTCAAAATGGATCAAAAAACTAGACATAAGAGTGAAAATTATAAAATTATTAGAAGAAAACATAAGGGAATAACTTAATGACACTGGGTTTGGCAACAATTTCTTAGATATAACACCAAAAATAAAGGCAACAAAAGAAAAAAATAGATGAATTGGACTATATCAAAATTAAAAATGCCTGTACATCAAAGGACACAATTAACAGAGTGAAAAAGCAATCCACAGAATGGAAGAAAATATCTGCAAATCCTATATCTAATAAGAAGTTAATATTCAGAATATATAGAGAACTATAACTCTACAAAAAAAAAAACCTGATTAAAAAATAGGCAAAGAACTTGAATAGACATTTCCCCAATGATACAGAAATGGCCAATAAGCACATGAAAAGATGCTCAAAATCACTGATCATTAGGGAAATGCAAATCAAAACCAAAATGAGATAGCACCTCACATCCATTAGGATGGCTAAGAAAGAAAACAGAAAATAACAAGAGTTAGTAAGAATGTAGAGAAACTGAAACCTTTGTACACTGTTGGTGGGATTGTAAATTGGTGTAGCCACTATGGAAAACAGCATGGTAGTTTCTCAAAAAATTAAAAATAGAAATTACCATATGATTCAGCAATTCCATTTCTGGGTATATACCCAAAATAATTAAAAGCAGGGTCTTGAAGAGGTATTTTTATGCCCATGTTCATAGCAACATTATTCAAAATAGCCAAAAGATGAAAGCAACACAAATGTCTATCAGCAGACAAATGGATAAGCAAAATGTGGTCTATACATACAAAGGAATGTTATTCAGTCTTAAAAAGGAAGGAAATTCTGCAATGTTACAACATGGATGAACCCTAAGGATATTATGCTAAGTTAAATGAGTCAGTCACAAAAAGATATATACTATAAGATTCTACTTATATGAAGTACTTGGATAGTCTAAATTACAGACAGAAAGTAGAATAGTGGTTGCCAGTGGATGCAGGGAGCGGTGGACAGGGAGTTATTATTTAATGAGTCCAGAGTTTCAGTTTCACAAGATGAAAAGAGTTATGGAGACGGATGGTGGTGATGGCTGCACAATATTAGAAATGTATTTAATACCACTGTACACTTAAAAATGGTTAAGATGATAAAGTTTGTTATGTATATATTTCATGACAATTTTTTAAGTATCCCCACTCCTCCCCCTTGCCAAAAAGAGATGGAAAAATTAAGAATTTTCTAAGATTTTCTAATCATTTAAATTCTCTCATGTTATTACTTTGGTCATTCATTCTCTTTCTGTTTCCTCTTAGAATCAAGAGTTTAAAAAAACCATAAAGGGGATAATAAGTAATCAGTATGTGAAACTTCTGTTACAACTTGTTTTTAGTATCCCATTGTCTCCGAGATGGGCCACCGCAGGAACTGACACATAATGGTTTCTGCTTCAGAATGACAGCAACAGCTAACACATCTATTTCTTACTATACGCCAGACGCTCTTCCAAATGCTTTACATACATGGCTTTTGAATACTGGCAGTCTAGATCCAAAATTCATGGATTTAACCACTCCATCATATGGACTCTTTCTCAACACAGCACTACTCCCGTCTACTTGCAATTAATGAGAATAGTCACTCAAGATAAGTTTTAGGCTTAATCCTCAAGTCAAGGCATGATGACAACCATGCCTTCAGCACAGTACATACAGGTTAATTAGACTTAATTCAATTTGTAAGCCTAGTCTGACAGTAATCCCTCCACCGCCAAACACATACCTGGTTCTTCCTATATATTCCCAGATAACATGGTATACTACAAAATCCCTTAAAACTTGAACTGTATATGATTCATTTTTGCTCATAAGGTCTGGCACATAGAAAGCAGCCCAAAAAACATTTCTTAAACAAGTATCTCCAAATACACTGGGGCTTGCAAAAATACTTCTGGGGTTCATATTTCAGAACCCATTAATTGAATCCATTATCACAAGGTTTTGCTAGAAACTAAATGTACCATGGAAAAGTTCCAACACAGACCCATACACTACACTTCAGATTCAGGTGGATCAAGCTTTAATGGCATTCCAGTGTAATGTTAAAACTATAAAGCACTATAGAATTATACCTACGGTTGCAAGAAACAAATATAACATGAAGCATTTCCCACACATAGAAAAAATATATTATATTAAAGTTACAGAATTAGACAAGTATATTAAACCTTAATATCAAACCTTGAATTTAGCTTTAATAGAAAATTCCTTTATATGGAATACATTTTAATACAATCATAAACAATATCTATATACTCATCCCAACTACAACTACTTAATCCTCTCTTCACCCAATTCCATTGACTATATTCCCTATGTTGTACTGTACCTCCCATGTCTGTGAGTGTATAAGTATATATGGTGCCCAAAAAATGCATACACATTTTAAGAAAGAAAAAAACTATTAAAATTGTAATACTCAATATACACCAATAACAAAAAATGAATACAAGTCACGTGGTTACCATCAGTGTCCAGACACTTCTGATTACGGCGAACTACTACTTGAGCAACATTAACCAAAGTGTCCACTTGTATACATTTTTTTGGCACCCCAGTACAAATTGTGCAAGAGCTACATGCTGTAGTAGTGGTCTGTAGTTAAAAGGCACCAACTCAACCATGAAATGAATTACAAAAAATTCAATAGTAAAGGTCCCTTAAAAATGAGATCCTTGAACTGTCATACATAATTAGTTATTATTACTACAGTCGCAGCAGAATACTGCTATAAGTATTGAAGAAAGATTTACCTTGTACTTCTTTATCATGATACTCCTTTAGCTTTGTCCAAAGATCCTTAAAGTCATTAGATATATCTGCAGAACTAGGGCTTCCACAACTGCTTCCAGAGATGTTCATCTTGCTCCACACTTCTATTTGCTAATATTTTCTGACCTTTTCAGTTACATTATATAGGTATGAAGTTGTCTTTGGACAGCTGAAACACCTGAAATGACAGATTGCAACATAAATAAATTCTGCATATACCTTTGGGTAATTTGAAGTGAGGATGACTTCAAGTCCAGCCAGCCATTCTCAAGTTTTCCTAATTAACCTATAATCAATGACTAAGAATTTGGGGGGTGGGAAGCGAGGAAAGATGATTATAGTGAGAAAAGTCATGATTTCAGTAATCTGGACTTTAGTTAAGTTAAATTTTCAGGCAAATTTTCTTATTCCTCCTAGAAGGGATTACCTAAATTATGTTAAATTGAAAGGATTCTGATATAGAGAGGTTTATAATCATTCATGGCATTGATTCACCATTCCAAAAGAATTTACAGCTTTTTAAACTTTTGGATCGGTACAGAGTGCAACAATATATTGAACCAAAAACTGATAAACATTGTGAAATATTCTTGACTTAACGTATACACATACACACACACACATATATATACATACAAAGACACACGTAATAAAGAGCAAGAAAGATGACTGACGTATTAACACATAAGTATCTGACTAGCTTTCTCATAACAAGAGCAATCAGTGAGCAAAATACAGACACAGCAAAGATCTATGAATACAGAAACATTTAATAACAAAGCAACTAGGGTAAAGCTATTCTGTGCCTCTCTCAGAGTAAAGGTGAATAATTAAGTTTATTTGTATAGCCCTTGAAGGAAGCAACAGGTTATTAAGAAGTTCAAGTGGATTAATAAATATTTTAATGTGTTCTTAAACTGAAACCATTAACTGGCTACCACCAGAAAAGTAAAATGATTAACAAGCCTACTAAATCTCATATCTGGCTCCGTAGCTAAGGCCCTACTATTGCTAACAAGTGCCCAAACTAATTTAAGTGTCTCTTATTAACCATTTCTTCAGGTATCTGATGAAGCAAAAATAAGCAGTGACATTACTAAAGACAGCAAGAGTGTGAAGCCACTTGGTAAACTGTAAAGCAGTACAAAAACAAAAACACTTCTATTAAGTTTTCAAAATTTATTATACTTTTTTGTGACAATCAATGAAAAGAACATGGATTTTAGGTAATATTAGGGAATTATTTTTAATTTTCTTGGTTATGATAATGCGGTCATGTTACAAAAAAGTCCTTTATCTGTTAAAGAGAAACAGACTGAGGTCTTTACAAGTAAACTGGTAAGTTCTCTTAGATTTGCTTCAAAATACTCCAGCTAAAACAAACAAAAAAATGGAAGTTGGGTGGGGAGATGAAACAAGAAAGGCTGAACTTTGATAATTATTGAAGTTAGGCAGTGGATGGGTATATGAGGGAGTCCATAATTCTAGTGTCTCTCTCGTGTACATTTATTATTTCCATAATAAAGTTTTTAAGTGAGACTGGGTGTATTGTATTAGTACAGCTTTATTTCTAAAGAGGCTTGTATTCCACTATTTTTTAACCCTAAAAGATAAATCAGTGGGCCTATACTATGAGTAAAAGTCACCATTTATTAAGTGTTCACTGTATACCAAGGATTATGCCTTATACTCATTTTTAACCTAATTTTCAGAACAACTCCATAAAACAGCTACTATTATTAGTTTCATGTTAGAGTTGGAGAAACTAGTTTAAGAGGCTAAGCGACTTGCCCAAGGTCACACTGCTACGACGTGGCTTCATCCCGGCTGAAGTTCAAATTGTAATGTCAATTAACTATAAAATATTGCTAAGTAGCCCCAAAAACAAAAACAATAGCAAAAAAAAGGAAAAACAATCATTTCTATTAAGTAAATAATGTAAAACAAAGTTTGTGATTTTAATGAATTTTAAAATGTATAGTATTCAATAGCTTAAAACCAATAGTGTAAAAAAAGAGTCCTTTAAGAAAAACATCTATCTTCAGGGATAGGAAGAAAAATAAGTTGTTGGTTTTTTCCCCATATGAAAACAACTTATCAACGCTAAACTTGCAAATTCTGGCTTACAAAACCATCTCCAGCCTATCCTGAACGCCCAGCACTTCTTGTTGGCATCTCTTTGGGCAATGAACCGTTATTTGCTACATGATGTCGCGCTTTGGTATCTCAGAAATGTGCATTTTGCCTCTCAAGTTGCATTCTGGGCTCACAGGTCTGTACGTAACATATTGCATTTCTGTGCATCCTGTAGCAGTGTAAACCATCACACTTAAGATGCTCAATAAAATATTTCCTGTCACATCACACGTATTCTCACACAGGTAAGGTAAGAGCCGAGCCTCGAGTCACACAGGAGCTCTAAACAAACTGAATGCGGACGTTGAGTGATCCTCTTACTAGCAAAGCAGAGGTCCAGAGGCTCCCACCCCACGGCCATCAGCCGTCAGCTTCTCCTCCCACAATCGCTCCAAAGGCTAACAGCGCGACTGGCGCGGGAAGAGCAAGGGGCGCCCCCAGCCCGGGGAGTGAGCCGGCGCATGCGCGGGGCGGGCTGAGCCCAGAGAGGCCAAGCAGCAGCACCGAGCGCGAGCCTGTCCTTCCTCCGGTCCAGCGGAGTTTAGCCCGACCCCAGCCCACGTCCTCACACTCAGTCCCAGAGCCGTACGGCCGGCCACCCCCACCTGGCGGGCCAAACGCCTTCGGTCAGCGCGGAGCTCCACACCGGAAATGGCCTCTACGACCCGGCGCTCTGGTTCGGGGAAAGAGATTCCTCTTACTCACGGCTTCCAAGATTGCCTCGAGATTCTCGAAAGCCCCGGCAGAGGAGCGGACACGCTCCGGGGCTGTGAAGAGACGGCCGCCGGCTTGTGTCGCCTTTCTCTCACTAAGCTGCCAAACGCCTAGCGGGAAAGTTAGCCCCTGAGGGCAGCCCGCGTTTTCCGAGGGTGGGGGAGGGCCCGAGAGCCGCCGGCCGGGCTCGGAGGCGGCCGGACCCGCCCCGCCTGAAGCCCGTGCGACGTCACGCGGGAGTTCCTGGACGTCACGCCCCTTCTTCCCGCCTCGGAGGGAGGCTGCGTCCCTTACGCCCCCTGCGGTAGAGCGGGGTCAGCGGGTGTCCCTCCCCGGAGGGCGGTGACTGGAGGTGGGAGGGCCACCTCTGAGCGGGCGGGAGCGACTCCTAGAGCCGGCGACCACCCCTGCGGTTTTTGAGATGCCCTGGAGAAGGCTCCAGCCGTTCTGTCTTGGGAAGTTCCATTAAGTTGGTGTCACATGAAGGGTGATGGGTGTATCTGACGTAAGCACATTTCGGGGAAAGCATGTGTGAATGGGCTGTACCAAATGGAAAGTTCAAATTAAATGATGAGGGAATAAACACAGATCAATCGAACGCGGTTCTCTGTCTTGCAGCTAATCAGATCACTTCATTGATCTGAAGTGACTGAGTGGTGAGGCCATGTAGCAAAACAATGTATATTTTTAAGAGGTTAAAAGGAAAGTATCTGGAGAACCTGAAATGAGAAGCGATCAGAAATGACCAGCATTATTTGTTGGAACAACATCCTGTTAGTAACATTTTAAAAATCATTTCTTGTGGCTGTTTGTTTATACAACATTCAAACTGTTAGTATGTTTTTCTATTTATCTTGCTACCTAAAAGAAGCGTCTTAGCATTAGAAATTCTACAAATGAAACTGAAGAAAATAAACCAAATAGTGTAGAATCACAATATCTATTAAACCAGTTCAGTACTTTTCTGTAATACTTCTAAGAACTGGGAGGAAGACAGAGGATAATATTATTAACTTTAAAAAGTTTAGTATTTAAAAAATCATAAGTACAAAATGTAAAAGTAATTTTTCCAGTCATCCCTGATCTTAAGAATGAATATCACAGCTTTCTCATAACAGGATGTGATTGAATATAACAATGCTATGGGAACGTTGGTATCTTTAAAGAAGAGGGCTGTTGAACCATCATTACCCTGTTATAACAACTTTCATTCACTTCCAAATTTTGAAAGACTTAATTCATAACACTTATAAACAAAACGGGTGAAAAACTGACCATGCCATTTTTAATACAACATAGGCAGAATTGCTTGGATAAATGTTTATAATGGAAATGGAACGTTTTGTTACAAATGGAAAGAACCTGTAATCAATTTGTCATTTAACAGCACATTGAAAGAACAGTGTATTTGTGGTCCAAAGAGAAACTACCAGAACTGAATGATCTAACCTGTTCTTCTGGCCTCTGCCAATGGCTCCACTGTCCAATCCATTTATGCAAGTCAGGATCCAAAGAACTTTCCTTGGCACCTTCTTCTCCCTTAACCCCCATATCCAGTCTATCACTGAGCCCTGTCAATTTTATTTACCAAATAACTCCCAAATCCATTCTCTTCATTCCTACCACCCTATTCCAAAGATACTATTACCTCTTACTTAGTGTACTGCTAGTCTACTTTTCATATTCTCCCAACCAACAAACACACCTAAACTTTTTTCTTCACTGGTGTTCACAAAAAGTTTTGAGCGTCTATTCTCAATTCATGTACTGTATTTGCTGGCGTATAAGACGATTTTTTGGCCCTGAAAAATATGCCTCCAAGTGGGGGGTCGTCTTATACGCCAGGTACACTTCAGATAGACTGCCCATAGTGCTTGCCCCGTGCCATAGTGGCCTCCCGATGCCCGCCCACTTCATTCCACATACCGTTCAGGCATCAGCAGCGCTGCTGGGTGTATGCTCGGCTGTTATGCGATTTTGCTGTTATGCGATTTTACCACACTCGCAAAATCGCACACAGCCGACCATATAACAAACTCTGTATTTTGAGTGGAAATGTTAAGGGGTCGTCTTATACGCCGAGTCGTCTTATACGCCGGCAAATACGGTATATATTGATATTTAAATTTTAAATTGTATACATATGTTGCTGAAAAAATGGTATATAATTTAATGCGTAAGTCACAGACTCTGGAGCCAGACCTAGCTTTGAATCCTGCTTTAATACTTCCTTACCAAGTGACCTTGGACTGATTTCTTAAATACTCTGTCTCATTTTTCTTATCTGTAAAATGAGGATAATAGTACCTCTTGGAGTTATGAAGAGTAAATGAGTTAATATATGTAAATTGCTTAGTATAGTCTTCAGGTTCATAGTATGTGTTTAATAAAAAGCTAGCCCTTATTAGTACTTCTGAGCTAATACACTATGACTATTATAACACATTTTAAAGATGAGAAAAAATATGTTCTCCCACCTTAAATTGTGCCCACCTTTCTACACTATAGCTACTGTGATCTTGAAAAATAACTCTGATAACGATACTATGCTGCTTAAACACTTTCGGGATCTTACTGTTAACTCTTTGAAGGAAGCCCTTTTGAACTGCCCCAACTACCTTCCCAGGTTCATTTCCAAACACGTTCTGCCCTATGGCCTGTTGGCTTTTTAGTGTCTCCTAGTACTTTGCATGCTGTTGCCTCTGTTTAGAATTCTCAACCAAATCTACCCCTACCCTTTGCCTAGTGATTCCTAATCCTTTTATCTTGTTTTTGTATTCTCTTCTAGTAGGTCGCCTTATAGCACTAAGTACCTTCCCATCTTACATTTATTACAGTTTTAATTATTTAATTAGTTTGGTCTCTCCCCTAGACTGTAAGATTTTGAAGTCAAAACCATGTCTTGTTCACCTTTTTATCTCCAGAAACCAACTCAGTGCCTGCCGTAAAGTCAGAACTCTGTGGATAAATGAATTGGGCATCCCTTGAAGGATTCCTATTTTTCACGTAGGTGGAGAACGTCTTTGAGTCCATTCAAAATTCTTAGATCCTCTTTAGATATTCTTAAACAATGGAAATGGTGGGCATAATCATGGATATATTCTCCCAATAAGGAGCTTTAAGCCTTACATGGTAGAATAAATTATGAAGTCTTGAAGATGTGAGAAAGCTTCTTTAATAGAGAAGCAGCCATTTTGAACTCTTCGTAACACCGAGTTTCTCATTTTTTTATGGCTTAGAATAGTGCTTCTCAAACTTTTTTAATACTTAGAAAATGAATACTTGTATTACTTATTGTGAAAAAAAGGTGAGACTGCTTCCATTCAGAGGCAACAGAATGTGGGACGCCAGCCACACCAGGCCCAGCAATGCCACCTTAAGGGTTGGGATACCTGAAACTGTCACAGCATGCCTAAAAGCCATTGGAGGTCCTTGGTTAGGAAGTTTGTTTAAAAATTGTGTAGTGGGGTGGGCAGAGTGGCTCAGTTGGTTAAGAGTGTGAGCTCTGAGGAACAGAGCCGCCAGTTTGATTCCCACATGGGCCAGTGATGCTGTGCCCCAGCTGAGCTGACACTGAGCTGCCAACAGGTGGCAGGATGGCTCGGCTGGTAAGAGCGTGTGCTCCTAACAACAAGGTTTCAGGTTCGACTCCCGCATGGGATGGTGGGCTACACTCACCCACAACTAAGATTGAACACAGCACCTTGAGCTGAGCGGCTGCAAGCTGCCAACAGGTGGCTGGATGGCAACTGGATTTGGAAGTAAGCTAGCTGCACCCTCCACAACTAAAGATTGAAGGACAACAACTTGGCTGTTCCCCTCCCCCAATTCCCCAATAAAATCTTAATTTAAAAAAATGTGTAGTGAAATGGTTAAAATGGTAAATTTTACATTATATACATTTAACCCCACTAAGAAAAATTATGTGGTATGAATCCTAGGATTCTTAGAACTGCAGTATTTTTGAACTATGTAGGTTTTTAAGTCATCTAACTTAAACCATTTTACAACAAACTGTTGATTCTACAATCTGCTTAACTCCTATAGCTGGGTAGCTGAAGAGTTGTGAATGAAAACCACATAATAGGTTAGACTGATATCACTAAAATTACATGGTTTCAAACCTCATGTAGGGCATCAGTTAATCCTTAAAATAACTTTTGTTCAACTCCTGTTTCCTTTGCTGTCTCCCAAACCTTCATTGTTTTCTACAAGCCTCTGTACAGTATTCTCACTCTCAGCAGACACCCTAGCCTCCTGGTTACAGACAATTGAGCTCAACAAGTGTGATCTTCCTGAACTTTCCTTTACCTTTCCCAACCCTGTGAATTAGGCAATACTATTTTGCAGGTAAAAATGCAACCCAAATCCAATTGCTTCTCTCCCCCTATTTTGCATCCACCCTGGGCCAAGCCATCATCATCTCAAACCTTTTCTGCAGCAGTAGCCTCCTTTAAAAAAAAAAAATCAATTATCTGTCTACTTCCACTGTTTTCCCCTTGTAGTGTATTCTCCAACATCAGTCAGAGTGGTCCATTAAAACCTAAGTCAGAACGTGATGCACCCTGCTCAAAACATTCCAGGGTGTTCCCATCACCTTAGAATAAAATCAAACCCCTTTCCATGGAGTCAGGACAAATCAACCACTAGATTCTACTGATGTTACCTCCTTAATATAGTTTTGAATTAGTGCTTTCCTTTTCATCCTCACTCTTACTGCTCTAGGTTAGGCCCTGATATTTCTTACCTAGATTACAGCCTTCTCTTGCTTCAAGTCTTGTTCACCTTACATCCAGTCTCCACACAGCTGCCAGAGATTTAAATCATTATTTCTGATCCAGGCACTCCCTTGCTTAAAACCCTTCAATGACTCTCCATTGCCTAAGGTTAAAGTTCAGTACCTTTAAAATGATACAGAAGCCTTTCCTATAGTATGTGTATCTTTATCACTGCACTTTATGCCTTTATATGATAATTATTTTTATATCTTTTATCTTTCCCAACTAGACTGTGGGAGGGGTTCCTTGACAGCAGAGACTGTGCTTTCTTTATTTTTCTCCGCATTCTTAGTACTTACCAATGAGTCTTAGCACAGCATTAACCAAGAGCCACATATATAATTTAAAATTTTCTAGTAGCCACATTAAAAAAAGTAAAAAACAGGTAACATTAACTTAATATATTTTATTTAATCAAATTTATCTAAAATATTGTTTCAACATTGTAATATAAAAATTTATTAATGAAATTTTCTACATTCATTTTCTTTGTACTAAGTCTTTGAAATTGGATGTCTATATTATCTTTAGAGCACATCTCAATTTGGATTAGCTGCATTTCAAGTGCTAAAAGCCACACCACATGTGACTAGTGGCTACTGTATTGGACAGCACAGGCCTAGCATACATAATGAACCAATGAATGTTGAATGAACAAACGAGGTTATATGATTACCTGAAGCACCAGGATGGAGCTGGGACTGGGACAGGATGTCTGATTTCTAGTCCAAGGCTATTTCTGCTATTTGTGCTTGGCATTTCCCATCTCTCCCCCATTCCCCACATCAT